AAAAAAAAAAAAAAAAAAAAAAAAAAAAAGGGCTAAAACCAAATCCAAACATCTGCCTACGGGGTTCCCCGTAATACTATAATGACAATAAAAAAAGGCCTGAAAGGCCCTCCTGTCCTGATTCGACAGATTTTTTTTTTTTTTTTTTTTTTAAAGGCTAATTCTATAAGCCCAACCAATTCAATTACCTGTCAAATCTGGACAGGACGGCCTTTCATGCCTTTTTTATTGTCATTATAGTATTACGGAAAACCCGTAGCAGCCACATTCGTGCTCAAGCCTCCAACGAGGGAACATGCGGGAGCTGTTATTCACACAAGCAGTCACATGTTATATTATATTGCAAAGCAAATCATAAGGAGCGGCGTCGCCGAACGCAGCAGCCAGCGCCAAGCGCTCTGTCCTAGCGGTACCGGTCCGGTAACACAGTCTGACGGTCGCTCGAGACGCTACCAACGAGATAGCGCCTCAGGAATTCCGGCACTCACCCGCGAGGCGGGTTGAACAGTTGTGGTGATGAACCACGTTCGCTGCCTTAGCTACTTTGTCGTTCGATCGATCCCGACGCCCTCCAGTAAGACTCAAAGGTAATTGAGGAGTTGAGTGAGAGAATAGGAAGAGGGACAGGAATTTGGAGGTCGGGACTAGACCTTAGTTCAAGAACGAGAGCACCATGGAAGATGTCGAAGATGTAGGAAGAGACCGCACGAACGCACGATCTCCACCTGCTGCGCCTCCAGAACAACGTGACTATTGGGAAGATGAGGAACGCATTAGGTCTCTTCTGGAGATGTGCTTTAATGATGGAGTGTACCCTACCGACCTCGACCCAGGCGAAATGTCAAGTGAAATTCAAATTGAATAATTCATTGGACGAAATCAAGATAACGCGAGATTCCCGTCAAAAAGAATCAAGGATGACACACAATTCGGGCATTTTAAGATGGATGCGTATCGGGTAGCGAACGCTTTCCATGGGAAGTTCGAAGAGGTAGAGTGAAAATTGAGGGGCCCAATGCCCTCTCGTATGTAGCAAGGACTCGAGAGATTAAGGTTCTGGTCGACTGACAGATCGACCACCTGCATGGGAGTTGACCCTGCTTGACCCTACCTGGTTCGAGATTGCGACTCGTGTGAGGAAAATTCACCTCTCTCTCTCTTCTCTAGGACCTAGAGCAGTAGATCGTACCAAGGGAAAAATTATCAAATTCATTTGACGTGTCCTCAGAAGAGGCATGGCGAGCTTAAAACATGAGGCACATAGAAAGAAAGGGAAAGAAAAGGCACGGGTGGTTTGGTACCAAGGGGCAATGAGACACCACTCAATGGATTGGAGACCGCGGGACAGACAGGAGAGGGAGGAGATGGGAATATCGGACACAGCCTCCTCCTCCTCCCACCCACCTCCTCCTCCTCCCACCCACCTCCCCCTAGTCATAAGGAAGAACCAAGCCCCCAACCAACCCCGTCAAAACTGCTCAAAGGGGTACATAAGATGAAGGAATGGCGACAAAGGAAAAAAAAGGAAAGTACAACTCCCCCCTCATGGGCAGATAAACTGGAAAAATTGTATGCAGGATAGACTCTGGCTGGAACTCTGCAAATCGGCGGCAGGCCCGCCTGATACCGCAGGGACGACAGGCGGCCTAAGGTGTTGAGCTGGCACGCGAAGGCCACCCTCGGGCACAACTCTCTATCGAGAAGCATGGCCATAGCTGGCCATGGGTAGAGGCGTGCGAGCGGCCATGACCAGATGAGGAGGAAAGAGACAGGAAAAGGGACGATACCGTAGAAGCAATAAGAAGCACGGACAGAGCGTGGAAGAAGGGAGCGACGTGGGGGAGAGAACAGGAATTCACGGAGGGAGATCAGAATACCCCTCGGGCACGACTCTCTATCGAGAAGTAGTGGCCATAGCTGGCCATGGGTAGAGGCGTGCGGCCATAGCTGGCCATGGGTAGAGGCGTGCGAGCAAGTTTGGGTGAAAATTTCAATAACTCAAATACTTATTTTTCCATGACTGCTACTTTAGAAAGATGTGAAAGTTCAAATTTATGGGGTCGTTTTTGTGACTGGGTTACCAGCACTGAAAACCGACTCCGCAAGGTTCGTCCACGGAGGGTGAGTCAGGGCCTAAGATTAGGCCGAAAGGCGCAGTCGATGGACAACAGGCGAATATTCCTGTACCACCCCTTATTTGTCCCGAGGGACGGAGAAGGCTAGATTAGCCGAAAAATGNAATATTCCTGTACCACCCCTTATTTGTCCCGAGGGACGGAGAAGGCTAGATTAGCCGAAAAATGGTGATCGGTTCAAGGATACAAGGTGAGAAGGAGTGGAGAAAACACTCTGAGCTAACATCCTAGTACTAGGTGCTACGGCACTGGCCGTGACCAGATGAGGAAGAAAGAGACAGGAAATGGGACGATACCGTGGGAGCACGGGCAAAGCTTGGAAGAAGGGAGCAACGCAGTGGTGAGAACAAGAATTCGCGGACGGGGATCATAATATGAAAGTGGGAGAAACAACAAACAGGAGACGAAGTGAGGGTGACCTAAGGGGAGGGACTGAGCACCGATAAGGAAGGAGCTAGGTGGAGATGGACGAGGAAAAAACAAGCGGAGCACGAGCGACCTGGAGTGGAGCAGGAGTGGACATGCAAGAAGGCGTGAAAAGGATCCGATGATGACCAGACACATAGACGACAGAAGACGAGAAGAAGGCGAAGAAGGCACTCTGGGTTTTGGTCTCTTACCTTTGGGGCCCTGAGGTTTTTCCTCGATGAAGGAAAGGGAGCTGCCCAGAGGAGAGTAACGGGATTGCGACTGCACCCTACCCACCCTGTGTCTGTTTCTGTCTAACTTCTCTTGCTTTTCTCTTGGCCCTGATTTAGCCCATATCGCGAACTTGCCTCCCCTCCCGATATTGCATAAAGAAACACCCACGAGAGCGTAAGCGTTGGTGCGACTACGTCGGCAAACCAATTTTCTGCTTTTCCACGAATGATTGTTTATGTGGTACTTCGACGACACCTCACCCCATCAAATCGGACCCCCTCAGGTTTTAAACTGAAAGAGACTGACCGTTTTCGCAAAAGACCGATTGATTAGTGCTACAACGACACTTCACCCCCGGGCTACTGAACCTGATCGATCCAATTGAGTGTCCGCTTGAGTAGAAGGGCGGATCGATCCATTGCCTTGATTGATTGATTGATTGATTGATCGAGGAATTGACAGATTGATTGAGTTATTGGCCTTGATCTATTGATTGATTGATTGATTGATAGATTGATCAATTGATTGACTGATTGGCCTGCCCACGTGCGTTGAAGAAACAAACAGAGACGGGATATGCGACAAATTAAGTGATGAAGGGGGCAAAAAAGAGGTTCTAAATGAGGAAGCAGATCGTGATGCTATCATTGACTAGATCGATCCATTGTTTGTCTGGATGATTGTCTGTTTGATTGTTGGATTGATTAATTGATTGATTGATCGACCGGGCTGTTCGACCGATTGGGCCCCGACGACACTTCACTCTGACCCTCTCAAAGCAGTCCGTTTGATTGCCCGTGTGCGTCATTTAATTGATCCAATTAAATAAAAAGAAAAAGGTCCCGAATGAAGAAGGAAAACCAGAATCACGTTTTTTTGAAAAAACAAACGGCGACGGGGGGTTTGGTTAAATGCCCGAAAATTGCACGATTAATTGATCGACTGATTCCATAATAAAGGGGGCAAAAAAAGAGGTTCCGAATGAAAAGCGAAAAACAGATGGCGTGATCGAGGGCTCGATTGCTCGATTGATTCGATTGAGTAGTTGTTCAACTAATCGATCAATTAATCGATTAACCAATTGATTACCTGATTGATTGATTAAGGTTTTGGTCGACTGATAGATCGACCACCTGCATGGAAGTTGACCCTGCTCGACCTAGTCTGGTTCGAGATTGTGACTCGTGTGAGGAAAATTCACCTCTCTCTCGCTTCTCTAGGACCTAGAGCAGTAGATCGTACCAAGGGAAATAATTATCGAATTCATTTGAGGTGTTCTCAGAAGAGGCATGGCGAGTTTAAAACATAAGGCACGTAGAAAGAAAGGGAAAGAAAAGGCACGGGTGGTTTGGTACCAAGGTGCAATGAGACACCACTCAATGGACTGGAGACCGCGGGACAGACAGGAAAGGGAGGAAATGAGAATATCGGACACAGCCTCCTCCTCCTCCCACCCACCTCCCCCTAGTTACAAGGAAGAACCAAACCCCCAACCAACCCCGACAAAACTGCTCAAAGGGGTACAAAAGATGAAGGAATGACAGCAAAGCAAAAAACAGGAAAGTGCAACTCCCCCCTCATGGGCAAAAAATTGTATGCAGGACAGACTCTGTCAGTGCAAAGAAAAGGGGAGGGGGAAGAGAATCTGGAAATCCCTTTGGATAATTTAACCACGACCTCAACCTTTTTCCTTGCAAAATTCCTGGCCGAACCGGAAGACAAGGTTGTCAGTCAGTGGGGGGAAAAACACAGGGTGAAGGCCCTCCCGCGCAATGTATTTAAAGAAAGGGATAAAATCTACACCAAACATGCATGCACCTGGTTTTTTTTATGACGATGCAACTTTCAAATCAGCAAATGACAAGGTAGGCTGGATCAAGAAGCGCCTCGCTACCCTCAAAGGATCAGAGGAGGGTGCACGAGACTTTTTCTTAATCCAACCTACCTCATCGACTGTCTTCACAGTAATCTGCATGTTCGATTCAGACAAACGGATAATGGAGTCATGGCGGAGTATACCCTGTGGTCGTTTAGAGGTTCGAATTTTCCCCTCGTCCCCATCAAAACAGCAAAAATCAGAAGAGAAAATAGAACAGCTAATGATGGACTACTACTGGGTGAAATTCCGGCATGTATCCATAGAAATCCAGGGGGCCTTCGTGCAGGAACTTGCCCAGAAATACGAGATTGTTGATTTTATCGACCCCCTCCCTTCTCATGTGGCCCCAAGGGATGACTATCTCATGATAGCCCTGGACATACCCAAGGACCACATTTTCACCATTGATGGCGTCATTCCCTTTCAGGTGGGGGGGAGGGACTTCAAGATACACAGCACACAAAAACCGGCCTTGGTGTTTCAAATGCCAGGCATACGGGCACCTCCCTCTAGACCCGGAGTGCCCTCACCATTCAGCAAAAAAAATCAAATCAACAGGCCGCCGGCTACGCGACCCCTTCAAGAATATTAGGTGGAGGACGGTGGACGCAGGACATGAAGGCTGGGTTTATGTGGACGAGATACGAGAAGGAGGACAAGTCAGGGGGTGGGAATGGGAGAAAAGAGGCGAAGCAAATTGGGATACGAAGCCACCAGATCAACGGACTCCCCCCAAACCGGTAGAGGTGCAAATGGAAATACCCACCAACCACATTCATCCCACACACCCCATACACCCCCACTCCCACAAAGGAGATAGCGCACCAGGCGCACCAAGCAGGCCTGGTCCACAGACAGAAGGAGTGAGGAAGAAAGGCAGGAGAGAGATGGAGGGATGGGATCAAGAAGGAGGAAGCAATTGGGGCAGAGCGAGGAGGTAACCAAGCAGGTGGTCAGGGAGCGTTCTCAAAGGGAGGAAGAACCCCCCCAAGATCCCCCTAAAACAGACCCCTCCCAAGGGACTCCAGTCAGTGAGGACCCCCCCCCACTCGGAATGGACCCCTTCCTGCAAGCTTTCCGGCCCCAACCCATGGAGTGGGACCCACCGACGCTCTCCCCGGATGAGGAGACGACAGATAATGCGCCTGAGACATGGGGGACAAAAGAGGAAAAGGATGTGGAGACCAAGCTAAAGGATCGAGCAGACTGGTTGATCAAACAGCTCCAGACCCTATATACAGGCCAAACAGAAATGTATTGGGATGAGGCTTATGTACAACTGTTCTCCTTACTAGATGAAAGTCCCAGCCTGAAACAGGCCTTGCAACAAGGTTTGCCCCAAGACATGGATGCGCAACAGGTGTTTAACAGAATTTGGAACATAGTGCACAAAACATTCCAGCCCCCCACAACTGTTGAAGCACCCACAATGGCCGATGGGCACAAAATGTCTAAGGATGACAAGCCCCCACCGCACCCCCCTGACCAGCAGCCCCTAAAGGAGGTTACACGACAGGATACACGACAGGATAAGCACGCTGCACACACGGTCCAAGAAAAAAAAGAGGCAGCGGTGGTAGGGGAGGCGGGCCTGTCGAAGCGGACCAAACTGCGCCACCCAATTGAAAAAGGACTTCACTACAAGAACCTGCCAAAAAACGATAAAGTTTTGGTTCTACCAATCAGGAAGAGAGCCGGGAAGTGGGAGTTGGGACTGTCACCGGCAGAATCCGAGGACACATATACCTCTGCCTACGGAGGAATGACGCTACAGGGATGGCACATGCAGAGGGAGGGGGCACTCAGAACCTCCGAAGTTACATAATTCATAGCCAACCACTACGAGCCGGGTGCAATGGCTTTCATTAGTGTATCAACGGAGGGACTGAAAATGAAATACAAAGATCTGTATGTAAGATTTGAAGAAAACAAGGAGGCAGGGGGCCCAACGTTTTACAAACGCCTACCTGGTCTCAAGCTAGGTCCATGTACAGCCAGGGGGTCCAGCGTTTTACAAGCGCCGGACCCTCAAGAGCAACAAATTTTGACAAGTTTTCGGCCAAAAAACTTGGTTTGAATTTCGTTCAAAAAATAAAAGATGTCCATTTTGACGAAATGGCAGTTATGAGAAGGATAGAGGAGGGAAGCCGAATGTTTCTTAGGGGTAATGGTTGCCTTAGACAACTGCCAGGACACACAAGAAGATATCGTGCAGAACAAGTTAATGTTCCAGACTATCCTCATGGGGCTCGGCATTGCACTTATCCTTATTCGGCAGAGCCGTAGTGGTTAATACCTCGTTTTTCTCCCTACTGTGGTATGTAGGTACAGTCCGGCTCCTACGTACGTCACTAATTCATCCGCAGAACAGCAGCCCGATTCATCTGGAAACCACGGGCACACAAGGAAGAGGGATACATTCCGAAAGTTGTGTGGGACACCATTTCATGCCTCAGGAAGAGGGGGTCTAGTCGACCCAGGGAACAGTTACTGTTCGTTACTTACGAAGAGCAGTCGACAGCGAGGACGAGGACCACGGGATTCTACTGGCGGAACACATCCTCTCAACGGAGTGGAACCTCGAAAGGCCAAGGGATGTCTGGACCTGCCTGCAGCTAGACTCCTTTCTGAACCGCAGAGTTCAGCCGAGATTTGGGCGGATATCATTTATGCACGGGCGAAGGTTAAGCCCAACTAATGGGTACACCCTGTCACAAAGGAAGAGGTAT